AAAGTTCAAACAGTTCTGAAAGTTCTAAAAGTTCTGAAAGTTCTATAAGTTCTATAAGTTCTAAAAGTTCTAAAAGTTATACAAGTTCTATAAGTTCTAAAAGTTCTGAAAGTTGTGAAAGTTGTAAAAGTTCTAAAAGTCCTAAAAGTTCTAAAAGTTCTGAAAGTTCTAAAAGTTCTAAAAGTTCTATAAGTTCTATGAATTCTATAAGTTCTATAAGTTCTAAAAGTTCTATAAGTTCTATAAATTCTACAAGTTATACAAGTTCTATAAGTTCTACAAGTTCTATAAGTTCTATAAGTTCTAAAAGTTCTAAAAGTTCTAAAAGTTCTAAAAGTTCTAAATTCTAAAAGTTCTAAAAGTTCTAAAACTTCTAAAAGTTCTAAAAGTTCTAACAGTTTTAAAAGTTCTAAAAGTTCTATAAGTTCTAAAAGTTCTAAAAGTTCTAAAAGTTCTGAAAGTATTAAAAGTTCAAAAGTTCAAACGTTGTAAAGTTTTATGTATATATGTATATATATATAGGTGTATATGCACATATCTAGTATATACATATAGTTCGTATATTCACATGTAGATGGATGTATACATACATATGCATACATATGTCCACATATACATATATATCTATACATATGCGCGTGCGTGTGTATACTCATATATATATATATATACATATAGTGATGTGTATTGTGTGTGCTTGTGTATTTTGTTTATATACAGTTACATTTACACATGTATGTATATCTATTCATATTTACATGTACATATGCGACTGTATTTATGTATATATATATATATACATATGTGTATATGCATATGTGCGGGCAGTAAAGCGGTCGACAGGCATTGCAGAGCGGCGAGCAACTGCCCTCCGGCTTCCTGTTACACGCGCAGAAGATGGTGTGGCGCCTCTTTTCCCTTTCGTGTGCCTCGACAGCATCTAGTGTCAGGACGGTTCCTGCAACTGACGCACTTGCAGCTTCGTGCCTTTTCTGCTGCTGTTCATCAGACATGTAGCTTGATTTCTATAAAGCGTACTGCTTGCGCCGCTTAGCTGCGCCGTCCAAGCGAACGTAGACATGTAGGGTTTGTTGCCACGTGCCAGCATGCCGGTGCCACAGCCGCCGCAGTACCAGTGCACCATGCATCGTGGATGGAGCTGGTTGAAAGAGCAATGGAACCTTCACGGCGGCTCCATCGCAGGACACGTGGGCTTCCAAGCAGTGTCCGCCTTGAGCGCCCGCTTGAGCCATCCTCCAGTGCCGATTTTCATGTACTTGCTGGCCGCCCTGGGTACCTTGTCGAACGGTGCCTCCATCAATGTTTGGGGTAGTCCAATGCCCATCGCTATCTGGGTTTTGAATGTCAACTACTCACAAACCAGAAAGAGCCAGCTAACAGCGTTGATGGAGAGCTTGTGCAGCAAGGCTGACGCAATGGCTGAGGAACTGTGGGGTGCTGTCTTGAAAACCAAGCAAGCATATGCAGCTTCGTCCGCCCGAGCCGCTGCAAGTGAAGAGACCGACTGCGAGCAGGATGAAGACACGCTTCAATCTGTTGACGGCAGAGGCAAGCGCAAAGTACGACGAGGTTCTGGCGCTGACAACTGCCTGGAGGAGCCATTGCAGATCTGGTCAGTAGCCTACTTGGGTGGCACACTCGAGCGCTCCAAGCAGCGCTGCGCGGGGGACTTTCACCAGGTGCGTGCCGTGCGAGACACAGCGCCCAGCAAGCTGTGTTCTGTCCCAGCAGATCAAGCTCGATCTCATGGGCATGTGCACGACCAAGAGTTGCGAGTCTTGGCGGCGAGGGGCCTTCCAGGTCGCTTATGGTTCTCTCAAGCCCTTGTACTCGACGAGGCATATGATTTCCTTCAAGACCTAGCCTTGCTAGATGCGCCAGGATCGAGGAAGTCAAATGCCGAGACACAAGGACAGACGCCAGCTGCCGGCTGGGCCAATAGGCTTATGCAGACCGGTCAGAGTACCTTCGAGACGAAGACCATGGGTGTCCATGGCGGAAAGGGTGCCCCTGCTGTCAGCTCATCAGTCGTAGGCAACATTCACAGTGCGGTTGCTGTCGAAATGGCCCGCGGCATCCGTGGAGATCATGGCTGTGCGACGAGAATGAGAATGTTCCTAGTCTCAGGCGAACCTGTCCAGCCACACGCTCGCGTTGCAGGCTGCTGCGTGGCATCCAAGCAGAAGTGGTGCTTGCTTCCCCGCTTGGTGCAGACAGCCTTAGGCCTGGAACAGCACCTGACTTCTCCACAGGCAGCACAGGTCTACTTCCAGGACGAGCTCATGGAGTCACAGGATGCGCCGAAGGACGTGCTCTACTTTCCTGACGAGCGCGGGTGGCAGCACACGCTCCCCGACGGCGTCGAGACTGCCATTCGCCTAGCTCGGCGAGATCATGGCTGGGATGCGCAGTGGTGCCTCGGAGATCGCGACTTTGATATTCCTGCCGAGCTCAGCGTCTACGACGCAGCAGATCGGTTTGTGCGTCACTTCCGACAAAGCCATCGACCCATCGGTTTCCACGACGACGCTGCCCAGGCACACGGTAGCTGTTCGAGTTTAATCCCTTCCCCGTAACATTAAAGGAAGTCTCCTCCCCCCCTTCCCTAGTATAGAATCTCGAAATCCAGGCCGGCCAGCAGTCACGCAACCCTGAGCCCTGAGCCCTGAAGCCCTAAGCCCTAAAGCCCTAAAGTCTAAAGCCCTTAAAGCCCTTATAGCCTCTTAAAGGCCTTAAAGCCATTAAGTCCTAAAACCCTAAGGCCTACTTTTTAGGTTTAGTATTACATGTAATCTTCGTCCTATGACAACTCATACAAATCTAGGCTCCCCCCTAATATTTATCCTTTTAAATTGCGTGTTGTGTTGTGTGTATTTTCAAGACATAGCTGTTTGCTGCGATCCGGTCCAAGCCCATTCGAATTCGCTTTTGCGTGCTGTGTTGGAATATGAGGCCAGATTCCGACAACTGTCGATTTAGGGTTTACGGTTTCAATGATCCTTACATAGTTTGTCTTTGATTAAGCATTAGAATCATCACATGTGATTCCATAACAATATCATTGCTACGAAGTTAAGATGAAATCCAAAGAACATCCAGACAGGATGATTGCAACGAAGCTAAGGGTCCTTGTCGTTGACCGATATGTCGCTGTTGGTGTTGGTGTCGTGGTGATGGAGTTGTGGTTGTTGTCGCTGTTGTTGTTGCTGCTGCTCCTGCTGCTGCCGCTGCCGTTGATCTTGGTGGTGTTGCAACTGATTCGGCTCCTGTTGTGCTCTATGTCTCTGGTGGTTGTAACTCCTCTTCTGACTTGGACTATTATCTTTGCCGTTGTTCTCATATAGTTATTGCCGGTTATTATTTTTTTCGGGCCCTTAAGCAAATGCAGGTAGTGAGAGGGGCTGTAATATTCGTGAGCCACGATTATCCTAATAAAACCACTAATGGTCAGCGCTTTCCCAAAGCAGGAGATTTTTCTGTCCTACGCCACCTTCTACCAGATCCAAGTGGTGGCTGCTCGTCAAAACAAGGACATCGCAGCTGCGGCCGCCAAGGGGACCAGCCCCTGGAAGCTTGCGCAGCTCTCCGCTTGCATATGCCTCTGGGACCTTCTGTGGTTGCCCGCCACCACCAGCTCCTCCAGCGCGCCGATGGATCTGTCCGTCACCAAAGAGCATGTCCAGCGTGCCTTCACCTGCCTCGAGATGCTAGAAGGCTTCGGCAACGTCCTAGCAGGGCTGGAAGCAGACAAAACGTGGATGCAGGCCCCCGCGGAGTTGCACACAGACAACAGCGACGAGCTCCTCCTGCAGAGCAAGCTTCAGGACACGTACGGTGGCACGGAAGAAGAGACTCTGTGCAAAGATGTCAACTTCGATCCGGCCGTGCCACAGAAGACGGGAATCAAGGATCAGACCATCGCCAGACGGATTATGCAGAAGGCCGTGCCTGACAAGTCTCGTTCCCTTCAACCGGATGCGGACCAGTGTTTCGCAACAAGTTCTCGCTGCACATGGGGTCTCTTCTCCGCCAAGGAGCAGACCAAGATGAGGCACAAGCTTTGCGTCGGAGACTTTCGTCTTGTGGCCAAGGCCGTGCCGGAAGAGATCGGTGAGTTCCTGTGGGGAACCGACAGCTTGCATTTCAAGCTGCCTCGTGCACAGGACATCTCCAGCGAGGACCCCATTCACGATGCCCTCAAGAACTTCGCCAACATCACCCTTGACGAGCTGTGGCTGGACCTGTCCGCCAAGCAGGCCGATGAGACCAAGCAAAAACGTGGGGAGAAGGCGCGCGAGGCCAAGAAGCGCAAGAAGATGGATTCCAAGCAGCCAGACGAGGATTGAGAGCCAACTCCTGTATTGCAGCGTAGCTCCCGACTTTTTTTAACCGTCATTATTATTATTATTATAGTTGTTATTATTCGCATTTATTGTCCTTGTTGTTAGTCTTACTTTGATTGCTAGTCTTATTATTGTTCTGGTTATTATGAAGATGATTATTGTTATTATTCATATTCTTGTTATTATTATTTGTTTCACAAAATTCAGATAAACTCTGGAAGCCTTTCGTGTCAAGAGACACGTGCGTGCAGATGCATGCCCCTTGCCAACTCATGGCTCCAACTGCAGGTGTCTGTGTGTCCTGCGCTTTAGATTATGGGTTTACTTAGGCTTTAGTGATTTTGTATTTCAATCTCTAGGCTTTCTAGATTTGTGGTAGGAGATAGCTTGCAGACTTCAGGCACACAGCACGCTTTCAGTCCAGTTTTTTTACTGTTGCGCTTGCTCGCGCCGTACACCCCTGACTGACGTCTAGAACCAGAAAAGTGGTCTCTGCACGTATCTTGCACATGCTCAGCGCTCGAGTCTCTGAAGGCAAGGTCTGCAAGCTGGCATAGCTTCCAAGCATCTCTCTGCCAGCTGCCATTCCGGCCCTGGAGGAGTCTCGCCAGTTAGTCGACCGGTGTAGAGCCTATCATGCCTTCGGCGACTGTGCGGCCTCACCAACGCGGAGCCCGCCCTCAGGCAAAGCTACCAGGCACGTTGACCCCCCAGGAGTTCGCTGCGCAGTTTCACAGACAGCAGCAGACCGACACAGACAGTTCCTTCGCGCAGATGCTTCAGCAGCAAGTGAGTTGGCCTCACGGCTTTACCGACAGCTTCTTTTTGCGAGCCGCGATGATCCTCTACAGCTTCGGTCTCCTCAGCTGGCAGACTTCCTGCAGCCAAGCACGTTGTGGAGGGAAAGTCCAGTTCGAAGAGACAGTGCGAAACGATCGGGCAGGCACTAAGTGTCGCTACCACTTCCGCTGTCTGCGCTGTGGCACGCGCACCAGTCCCGAGGCGAACGGAGCTCTACATGGGGTACGATCTCACCTCTGGATGGCTTGGATTCATTTCACCGCCTTGTGCACCCACAATCAGCCATGGAGTCAAATCATGACCACAATGCGAAGTCAGTATGGCGTTAGCTCACCTTACCACACTCTCGGAGATTGGCTTGAAAGGGTGCAAAAAGCCATGGGAGACTACACTCGGGCCAAGAAGATGGATGTCATTGGCGGCAAAGGATTCGTGGTGGCCTGGGACGAGACAGCTTGGGGACGACAGCGTGCAGGCATCATGAAGAAGCCCGCGCAGCAGCGAGGGCGAAGCGTCCACACCATGAAGAGATTGCCTGGTCAAACCATCTGGAAAAAGCCCGCTGTCCAGACAAGTGCAGGCAGTGACAAAGGCGAGACAAGGTGGATCTGGATGGCTGTTGTCTGTGGAAGACAAGCTTCCGCAGGAAAGCCTGCGGAGGTCTTCACGCACATGAGTCAGACCAAGCGCGTGGCTGCCGTGCTTTTGCCTGTCAGCGGCAAGGCCCTTCAGGGCAAGCCTCGAGGCGCCCAGCAGCTCAAGAAGGTCATCAAGCATCACATCAAGCCTGGGACGAAGCCCGTGACTGATGGTTGGGCTCCTTCAGCCAGCGTGGTCAACTCCTTGGCCCATTTCGATGAGCACGCCGTGGTGAACCACTCCAAGGAATGGCGTAACGAGGACGGCTACCATACCAATGACATCGAGTCGGAGAACAATCGTCTCAAGACCTGGGCCCGCCGACGATGGGGTCGCTTGCCGCCCAAGTGCACGGACGAGATGCTGATGGAGTATGTCTTCCGAGTCAACGTCGGTTCGTCCTTCATGTGCGTCCTCACAGCCGTGCAGCACGATGCCGGTGTCAAGAGTCCCTCAGTAGCCGTCCCGCTCGAGTTCCGATAGCTACCTTTGCTGTTTCTTTCCCTAAAATTATAAAGCTTGGCCGGAATATCCCCAAGCTGCCATGCAAGTTGAAGTGCAAGGCCGCGGTAACTGCTCACTGCGCGTAGTCTACCTCGCAAGCCCGCTGTTAAAACATCCTTCCGGAGACCTGCACAGCGGCAGCTCGCTTTAACGCACAGCAATCGAAAGTCACAACCCGTCACATCAGCTCAGGTGCCCTGGCTCCAGATCGAGACGCTTCTGCAGCCGAGGGCCGCAGAGAACTATCATTATTATCATAATTAGTACGGTCATTGCTATCATTCCTGTTGCAATCCCAGAAGCCAACTTCCAGTAAGCAAGGCTAGGCGAAACATCCCCAGAAATTCCCACGCACCCCAAACGCAGCAGAGACATTCCCACGCACCCCAAACGCAAGTAGCGCGATAATCCCATGACCGTTCTTCTTCGGCATCCTTGAGAATAGTGCTGGTCATCCCGGGTCGCTTTGTAACCCGTACTCCTGTAGATAACTCTTCAACGTCTTCAACTTGTTGAACCAAGCACTGCTGCCGATTCGCTGTCCAGGTAGCGTAAACCCTAGTTCATAAAATTCGCCATCTACTTCAACAATCGTTGGCTCTTCTTGTTCCACCAGAAGATAGGCGTCACCAACATCTATGCTTCCCAACGTGTATCCTTCAGATGACGTAAACCGGGCTTATAGTAGCTTCACCGTGCTTGCTACACCAGTTGGCGAAAATAAACTTGCAATGTCTGTGTCACCTAGACCTTTCAATTTCATGCCCTCTGGACACACCGTCTACTTTCACCTATTCTTCATCACTTAGTCTTGGTGGCCCGCTCTCGAAATCATTTGACCATGTTGACATTCCTTGTGGCAGTTCTTCTTCTCCATCTGACTCGTAATACTCTTCATCATCAAACTCTGCCTCTAATCCTTCGAACTCATCTAGTTCCACTTCTTCATCATCATGATACTGTGGTTCTTCCTTTCTTAGGAATGACTCTATCTCTTTCACACTCCTTGAAGCCATGATTCTTCTCACACTGCTTGATGCTTCACTTTTCTGTACTTGCTCTGGTCGCTCTTGAACCTCAGCTGTTCATTCATCCATTCTCTGTCTTACAGCCTCTGACTCTTCAAATTGTCCTTCAAGGTTCCTCTTTGGTGAAGTGGGTGGCAATTCACCAGGAATCAACTCTTCCGACTCTTCGCTCGTTGGCGCACTTCTTTTTTCAACTCCATGTCTGCTGCTGTCGCTGCTTGCACTTGATTGGCCCATTTGACCTTCACCTGGATCTTCGTTGTCACCACTTGGTGGGTCACTTGCTGCTCCATCTGGTCCTGGTCCATCTCCAGGATCGCTTGGGCTGTATCCACTTTCTTCTCCTTGATCCCTTCTTGGTACTGACCTTGGTGCTCCTCCTTCAATTGCTCGTTCAATTCCACTATCCGGAGGCAGCCTTTTCATTGGCTTTCTGCCAAGTAACACATCTCGCGTGTAGTTCCAAGGCGTTCCTGTTGCCTCGGCGAGTATCTCAACGTCGAACGTTGGCGTACACTGACGCATTGTCCTGCACTTGATGATTCCTTTCCTTGTGCTCACCAGATTCAAATTGCTTACAGCATCTTTTCCCACGAAGATTCCTTGCTTCCATGGTTCACCTTTCTCCTTCACTTTTGGTAATGCCTTTGCTAAAACAACACTTCCCCAGGGTGCCGATGTACCTTTGTACTCTCGGTCAAACAACACTTCGAATGGTGTCTTTCCTTTTCTCATAACAAACCTGTTCAACAAGATTGCTGCATGTCTTGCTGCCCATGGGTAAAGCGTGCTTTCCGATGTGATTTTCACTTTTGCTTCAGTTTCAACACCATAAACCAAAGTCTTTGATAAGTTCCTCACCGTTTGAACCCAGCGTTCCACCTGCAATGATTGATGCTCGTCAGGTGGCGCATCTTGTATCTCTGTCTAGAGAAGATTCTTCAGCTTCCTGAGTCCTTGTACCTTTCTTTCTCCTTAAGGAAACCATTGATGGTTCTGTGTCTGTCCTTAAGGTTACCTTCGAATTCAACAGCATCAATACTCTGCAAACTTCTTCAACCACATATGCTGCAGATTCTTTGCTTGCGACCGGTATCACACGAACAAACTTCGTTGCTTGGTCTACCATAACCAAACCGATTGTCAATGCATCCTTCCCATCCTTGGATTTTTCCTCATCTCTGGTTCCTGTGAACTTGAAATCCATCGTAACCAATGATGCTTCATTACTCTTCTCAGACACTTCGAAGTTATCCTCTCTCGATCTTGTTGCTTGGCAAGTTTCGCACCAATCTGCCTTTGGTAAGTGCGTAAGCTCGTGTCTCTTCCTCTCTTCTTCACTTGGCGGTTCAGGTCTTTTCTCTCCTTTCGGTTTTCTCTCAAACTCCACTTCTAGCCCTTTAGAAATCTCCACCAACTCTCATCTTGCTGGCTGCTATGCTCTCCTTGAGTCTCTTCCAGACTTGAGCTTTGCTTCCTGTTTTTCCAATCTTCAAGAATTCACATGCTTCTCTCAGCTTCTTGAGGGAACTGTCTGGAGTAAGTTCGACTCCTGCAACGATCATTGCTTCTTCCTCTTTCTCTCTCAGCTTGGGTAACTGATCTTCGATCTTCTTCATCTCTTCTTCACTTGGTGCTTCTGAGGGAAATAGATCTTCCATAGCTCTCTTGTTTTCCTCTTCCAACTCTTCAATTGTCTTGTTCGTTTGTTGTGGATGTCCTTTGTCTTCAGTTTCCATTTCAACATCCTTCTCAGTTCCTTCCTCTTCCTGTGGTTCTGCTTTCTTCTTTTGGTCTTTCGTAATCACCATACTCTTCAAGTCCTACAGACTTCCTCTCCATGATTGTGATTATCACTGAGTTCTCCTTTGCTTCTCCGATGTTCACCTCTTCACTTCCTTTCCAAGGTTCTCCGCATTCGAAGAAGTCCAGTTCATTCCACACGATATTGTCCTCTTGGTACCGCGTAAACAGAGTTGTCCTGTAATCGAATGTTGTAACTTCCTTTGACGGGTTGTATGTAACCGTCTTGTCCCAGTCAAACTTTGCAGGCTCTCCATCTGACATGAAAAACCATCCTTCGTGATACTTCATCGCTTCCAGATCATCTTGAATTTGCTTTGTAAGCGTGAGCTTTCCTTACCTTCGGGACTACTTCTGTTGCTCCTCTCACTTGAGCTCTATAGATCTTCAACTCAGTAACGGTTGAGTTCCGTACAAACCTGACTGGCACTCTTGCCGTTCCTTTCTTCAAGTAAGCATTCCACTCATCTATGGGGTCAAGTCCCCATCCAACTTTCCAAAGCTTGCCTACAGCAAACAATGGCTGCGTAACATCTCCAAACACTGCTGAGTCTCTCACTTTGATAACTCTTCCATCTGTCCTTTGAAACTCAAACGTGATGTTCGCTCTTGTCTCTGTGGTCTTTTTTCCTGTTTCCTTGAGCATCTTGAATAACCATTTTCAGTGCTGGAACTATAGTACGCTAGAGGTACAACGTGGCAATCTGCACCACTGTCGAGAACGACTTCTACCAGCTCTGAGTACATAGCACTCACTGCTCTTACCTTGTGACCTTGACTTGGAATCTCAAATGGTTTCACCATCCAATCTTGCTTGTTCTCGCTCCATCTCACGATATTCTCTCCTGGCTTTGCTTTCTTAGCGTTAGCCTTGTCAATCTCTCGATCTTCGTACCACCTGAACAGTTCATCATCTCGGTACTCTTCATCTCCTTCGTCATCACTCTCACTTGATATGCTTGACCAAAACATCACGGTCCTCTTCACTTTGACCATTCGTGCTGCGCACTGATAGGCTGCATCTTCAAGCATTCCTACCAGGTCAACATAATCTTCGTCATCTTCAAATACTTCTTCAATGACTGGCATGGGTGTCGTTACCAATCTTCTCACCTGTTCTGTTCCTCTCGCTGCTGGCGCAGTCCGTGCCTGTGATGATGATGCACTTGCATCTTGCTGCTGGTTTCCACCAGTCCAATCTTCATCACCGACTTCTTGCACATTTCTCACCTTTCCGTTTCCTTTCTTTCCTTTCTCTTGCGGTGGTGACCAACACTCCGAAGAGATATGGCCTGGCTTTCCACAGTTGTAGCAAGCTGGTCCTTTGCCTTTACCGCTTCCATCTCCGTAGCCTTTGCCTTCAACTTGTCTCACGTTCCTTCCACCTTTACCTTTCTTACCACCTTTGCCTTTTCCGAAACCTCGTCCTTTTCCTTTTGGTCCTCCTTTTCCTTTTCCAAAACCTCGGCCTCTTCCGTGACCTTTTCCTTTATCTCCTTTACCCCTCCGCCTTAACCAAATTTTCCACCTAACTCCATTGGGATTGGTCCTGTGTAGTCCTTGTTGTGTCCACTTGCTGTTGGTGCTTGGACGCTTAATGATCCCAATATGTTTTCTGCTGACCATGTCTGGTTGCTTCTTTCGTATTGCAGTAGCTTTGACCTTAACTCAGCATACGTTGTCTTCTCTGAAATGTTAACCATGATACGCTGCTTGAGGTGGTTCGGTATTCCTTTGAGAAGTGTTCCTATCTTGAGGTTGTCGCCATACTTCGATGAGCTGATCTTTTCGTACTCTGACGCAGTACTCTGCTATCGATCGCCCGGGTCAGGCCAGGATTCTTAGATGGCTGCAAATATGCATTAGGCCTGAAGTGACAAACCGCGAGATTGCACAGCTCCAGAACAATCCTGATCAGCTCCCACGGTTGGACTCATTCCTTGCATCGCAGATTTCGGATTCGAGGTACATAGAAAGGGGAGTTTGGTCTTGAAGTGCAGGCGTACATTGAGAGGGCTCATGCGCATGGAGTTTTGCCATCCGGTCGAGCAATGATAGCAATGCTCTCGCGCAGGTTTCGCGTAGATCGGGTGAGAGGTGCTACGGTCACACAGCAACCGTTGTTGGCTGTAACGTTAGACGGATTCT